ACAAACCTTGCTTGTATTTTTTTTTCTTCATGCCTTAAGCTATGCATGCATGCACTGACATTTCTTCATGTTCTTTTCAGCTTCTCAAAAGCGAATCTGAGTGAAACTGAGTTACAGGATGAATATGGAATGATATAGAATATAGCTGGGTGGGATCCTAGATTTGTCTGATCTATTACTCCATCCAAAGGCAAAATTAACTGTGCTGCTGTGCTTCCTGAGGGAATTCGTGCAATTTAATTTTTTCCCTCTCTTTTCACTTGAATTAGAGAAAAAAGTTTCCAGTGCCTTGGGGGGAAGTGCTGTTTTCACCTCTACTTTTAAGATACTTGTGAAGATGTTTTTAAATTTCAGCTGGAATGGATAAATAAAAGTCAACTTGATAGTAGCTAGCAGAGGTGTGTCGGGTTCCCAAAACAGCCCTCAAGGTGTGAATTCAAACTGAACACCTCATATTTTGCTATTTAATGCACTGGTGAGCCAGGATGTCTCTTTTATAGAAATACTCTTGTTTTGGGATGTCCATTTTTCAGCTGCAAGTCCAACCTTGATACTGTCTGTGTCAGGATGTGGTATATCAGGACAGGGAGGGGGCATTTCAGTTGCCTGCTGTCACTATCTTGATTGGGTTTTTTTCTTCCTAGAAGTGATGTTTGTCTCTGATCTAAGCTATGGCTTTTCTGCTTCTGTCTAGATCTATATGGCAGTAAGGAATTTTGGAAATGTGTGTCTAAATGTTTATTTTTACATATAAAATTACTTCATGAGTAATTTCATTTTTCTCTCTCTGCTCTACAAGCCATAAACAATAACAATTTCCAAAGAAGCCTTTTTACAACATCATTTGTGTCTTTTTCCTTGTTGGCCTTTGTTTGTTCCTGTTGTGTGTTTTGGATTGTGATTTACAAACAAGAAATAATTCCTGATTAGCAGTTTCTATTGTTACTATCCAAAAATATATTACGATCCATTCCCTATATGATCTAGTCAGATGTTTTGCCATTTTATTTCTTTATCTTCTAAAAACTGGAATTCAAGCATTATGAAAATAAACAGTAAATACATTTATATATAATTGTTTCATCTCTTTGTTGGCTGTTACATGAAAACCACCACCCTTTGTTTCAAGGATAGTTAGACATTTTGAGCGCTCAAATGTGCACCTATCTATTAATGCTTAGAAAAACCCAGTTATTTATTACTTGTCAAAATTAATATTTATGATTTTCTGATATGTTGCTCACTATTATTTGAAGCCTCTTCATAAAGAATCAACCAGCATTATGTGGCAGGAGTAGTTTGCCATGACAGCACTCGCTGCCCTTGGGTGAAGCTCCTGTCCCATGTGGGAGGTGACTGAAGCATTTTCCTTCCCTCTTGGCAGACCCTGCCTGTAAGAACCGGCCTCTCGACCTCCTCTTCATCGTAGACAGCTCCCGCAGCGTGCGCCCCGAGGAGTTTGAGAAAGTGAAACTCTTCCTGTCAGAAATGATCGATACCCTGGATGTCGGTGAAAGAACGACACGCGTGGCTGTCGTGAACTACGCCAGCACCGTCAGGGTGGAGTTTCCCCTCCGGACCCACTTCGACAGAGTCTCTCTGAAGGAGGCTGTGTCCCACATTGCGCCCTTGTCTGCTGGCACCATGACCGGCCTTGCCATCCGAACTGCCATGGAAGAAGTCTTCACCGAGGAAATGGGCGCCCGGCCAGCAACCTTCAGCATCCCCAGGGTGGTCATTGTGGTGACGGACGGGCGGCCGCAGGACCAGGTCCAAGGTGTGGCGGCGAGCGCGCGGACGGCCGGCATCGAGATCTACGCGGTCGGCGTGGGCCGGGCGGACGTGCAGTCCCTGAGGATGATGGCCAGCGAGCCCCTGGATGAACACGTCTTCTATGTGGAGACCTACGGCGTGATCGAAAAGCTGACATCCAGATTCAGGGAGACTTTCTGTGGTAAGGGGAGCAGTCCAAGAGAGCAGTGTAACTTGGCTCCTTTGGACTGCTGCTGCGGTTGCACTCCTTAAGAAAGATGTTTTTCAGAAGTGTTATGTATCACATCTAAATATTTCCTTTACCATCCATTGGGCAAACAAGCCAACCCTCTTTTTCAGTGGAGGCCAAGTAATGGCCTTTTCATTTTGAATAGTGACCTCAGTGTAGGTGACAGACCTGACTCGAGTGAACCTCCTTGTGCAGTTGGCCAGATTTAGAGAGAAAGAGAAATCACAGTAATCTGGACAAGGTTTGACTGTATATATTTACTGAATTACTGAAGATATACACCAGAGCTGTGCAGGCTGCTCGTTTCTTTTTCCATCTCATTGGGAAGCAAGGAGGGTGGGAGTGTGGAGCTGAAGGGATTCCCTGTAGGTTCAGAGTGGGACAATCGGTGTGGCAGGTAAGCCACGACACTGGCTTGAGCAATCTGGTGCAGGATTGAGCCCAAATGCAGCAGCAGAACATCTCAGGACAGGCTTTCACTCCTTAGGTACTGCTGGGCTTTTCCAGCGTGCCAGGCCCACATCTCCCTCTGTTTCTCTGCAACTTGATTTAGACAAGGAACTGTGGAATGGGAATAATTAGCTTTGCTTTTTCAGCGCTGATCTTCAAAAAATGCTGTATGTATTTGGTTTAGGCTAGAACTCCACTGACAATGCTAGGCCAGTGTGGGCTGTTACTGTCATTTACAAGGAAAAAAGGTCATCTGGAGTATTTAGAGCTGCCTATAGACAGCTGTGACACAGCCCTACTCACAAAAATCAAATGACAACTTTCTGACAATTAAAAAACTTGTGCAAAATAGATTTTTCTAGTTAATTTCTAAGAAATTTACTTTAAAATAAGTCTCCAGCAAATCATAGGCAAAATAGGTATAAATGACATTGTAAAAGAATGAAAATAACAGCCACTTCCTTGGGAACATGGTTGGCAGTGTGTTACTTTTGTTATTTCAGAGCCTTACTAAAAATTACCACCACATCTTTTGAGTATGTTTAAAGTGAATAGACCTCTTTCTCTAGGTATGAAGTAAACGTGTAAGACCACCTGCAGACAGGACACTTTGCCAGTAATTAGCACAGGAAATGCCTTGAGGTTTGGCTTGACAGCACGTTGTGCTGCTGGTGTGACTAGGCCCTCACAAGCGCCCACCTGGCTGGACAGGTACGTGTGCTGTGAACACAGCACTCGTGTCCACTCATGTTCTCACCAAAGCAAGCCCTTTCATAGCAGCAAAGAAAAATCTCTTGTTCTTAGGAATAAACTGTTTCTTGTGCTGAAGCATAGAAATTAGGCCCCTGCAAGGCTGGAGGGTAAATCAGAGAGCTCACACGTACACTTCCAGTGGAACTCTGAGTCGCCTGCATGCAGTTTGCCAGAATCTGGGATTCATGAAAATAACAGGGTGAAGGAAAACAGTCTTTGAAAAGACTCCTATAAACCAAATGAATCTAAGAGGGTCTTGTAAGTCGGTATGGTAAACTGTGTCTCTTTACAGCTCCAGACTGCTTTTGGTCTGAAATGTGGACTCACCAGTGGTAATTAGGATTCTTTTGCTTTGACCAAGGCAATTAATTTATTTACAGGGTGAACTATAAACAGGGAAAGTAATGTTCAGGGGAAAAATAGTTGGCTAAGACCAAGTTCTTGATGCACTGAGAGTATTATTCAGCATTAAGCCATCCCAGAGATGGAAAAGTCTTAACCTTGAATAGCTGTCCAAGTCAGTGGACATTTGACTTTCCTACCACAAAAATCTGACTATTTGAGTCTGAGCTTCTCACTTATGCTTGAAAAGATCACCCAGAGATTTTGTTCATGTAAAATGTAAAGACAACTCTATCACCCTTTTTTAGAAGAATTCTAAATCATCCTTGTTTTAGAAAATGGGAATGTTGCCATTTTGTTGCCACAAAATTACCTTGTTTTCAGAAACACTGGAGAAGGTTTAAGCACTCTTACTTCTGATTTTTTATCTCACCGGTATTGCCTTGGAGATTGATTTTACCAGTAATCCATACCCACAATAATACTAATTAATGACTACAAATCTAAGTAAAAATCTCAGGTAAAACCTTCCCCTTCCCCTTCCCCTTCCCCTTCCCCTTCCCCTTCCCATAACAGAAAGGAACTGCATACAAAGAGCTAGAAGAGCTTTTCATGGCTGAGTTCGCCTTTCCCATGTAATGTTACTGAATGCTTAATATCTCTTCTTGTTGAACCATCTCATTTTCAGTTCATCTTTTCTCCTGCCACCTCAGGTAATGAGTTATTTCCGTGCCGTTCATGGCCTCTCTCTCCTGGCTATGGAGTGCTGCTAAGGAGGTCTGTAACTTGTTGTGACAGGAACACTGCACTGACATTCAGTACCAGTAATCCAGCAAACAGTGCAAGATGTCCTTGTGTAAGCATGGATGAGTAATGCCTGTTCCTCTCCTCTGGGGTGGCTGAAGCAGCTCTCTGTCACTGCCCTTTGCAGCTGAGAGCGTGTGTGCCCTGGGGAGCCAGGGCTGCCAGCAGCTCTGTGTGAGTGATGGGGCATCCCACCTCTGTGACTGCTATGAGGGATACACCCTGAATCCAGATAAGAAAACTTGCTCAGGTATTATTCCTTTGGATAATGAGTTCAACCAGGAAAAAAAAAATTAATACTGTTCTTTGATTTGAGATGCTACTTATTTTCTTCTGTTAAAACAACAAACATCTGAATATTTTTCAATAAGAATTCTAGACATGAATAATAAATAAAACTCAGCTGCAAGTAATGGTGAGATGTAGTTTGATTCTATCACTGTCCTTTTTATTGTGCCTACAGATCCATTCATTAGGGCCAGATGCTGAAACAAAGTCCTCAGATGTAGACACTATAGATATTTTCTCCTACTACTTGTTCTAATTCCTTCAATTACTATTGCCATTTCTGAGATGATTCCAAATCAAAATATATTTAAAAATAGGACTGTGCACTCCATCCCAAAGTGGTTGTTATTAACAACAGGTTGTTTCTCTAACATTCCTACCAAGCTGTGGACCCATGTGCACCTGGGAGGCACGAGTGTGACCAGATCTGTGTGAGTAACAACAGATCCTATGTCTGTGACTGCTATGAAGGCTACACCTTGAATCCAGACAAGACGACTTGCTCAGGTAAGAATTAAAGGCTACTTGAATATATGAAACTCTTGGAGATATGGACATGTTTTCTGTGAGTTACCCTAAAATGAGCTGTCATCTTTTCCTTGTTTCTAATTGTCACCCTGGTGTTTTAAGATTTTCTAAGCCTTCTGATGTTGACATTCTTGTAGTGAACTTTCTCACACACATTCTGTAAATAACTCGTTGTTTTGCATTCCTTTATAGAAGAAGAGAGAGTTAATAGACTGTCAGTTTAACCAGTGTCATTGGAGAGGTGTCACTGTCACCCTCCAATCCGCTGTCACTTTTGTAAAACTATAAATATTAAAGTCAGAAAATAAACTTCCCTTTTTTCCTTCACCTTGAGAGCGGTAGTGTGCTTATGTTCTTTCGTATCCTACAGCAACACCAATAACAGTAACATTGTATTTTTCTTTAAATTTGTTGATTAGAAAATGCAGTTTGGCACTTATCTACCATTTTATTTGTTTATTCTTCACAGAATTCCATAACCACTGTTTAGCTGCTTAGTCTGACACAGGGCAGGTTATTGCTCATCTCATGGAGGTTTTTCATCCTTACTGGGGATGTACAGGACTCTTGGGATTGCTAATGAAAGACAGAACTGCATGAGATGTGGTGTAGTCATGTCTTGCAGTATCTGCCTCCTCCATTAAATAATTAATAACTGAATTCACTTGTCTGCAGCATACTATAATAATGTAGTAGGACACTGGTTAAATCGTAAGGAAATTAAAATTTAAAATGCTGAGCATTTAAAACAGTATCTGGGAGGGATTAACAGGTTTCTTTCCTAAACCATGGCTCACCACAGCCATGGACATGTGTGCACCTGGGAGGCATGACTGTGCCCAAGTCTGTCTGAGTAATGATGGATCCTACAGCTGTGGCTGCTATGAGGGATACACTCTGAATCCAGACAAGAAGACCTGCTCAGGTAAGATCTGATTAAGGAAAAATGATGTTCCACTCAAAGCAAGCAGCTTTTAAAAATCTGGCTAATTGATGTTATTTTTTCTGATAAAATAACAGAGTTTGTGTACAACTCCCCAAAACTCAGGGCAACTTTGTTTTTCCATATGTACAGTAGTAATATGAGATCCTTGGCTCTTCTGCAGTAGTGTGAAGCTTGTATTTGGTTAAATTAAAATGCCATTTGGCATTTCCTTGAGGACTTCACAGTATTTTCACACCCATGGAGAATGAATTGCCATATCCAGTATGTGATGTGGACCACTTCTGTCAGAAAATCTTCAGTAAAGCAGCACAAGGTAATGAGATGAGGGAGAACATGGACTGTGCTGGAAGAACGATTGCAGTCTGTATCATCATGAGTATGATTGCTCTTTCTGGTGGATGTGTTTGGACCTTAAAAAATATTCCAGCTTTAAAGCTCTAGAAGATGGAGGGAAGTGTTCCTTCTCAGTGCTGGTCTCTTGCGGAGAGCAAGAGCACAGATGTAGCTGGTACTCAGAGATGTACACATAAGTATATATTAAGTACAAATTTTTATCTATTCCATAATATCTTCACATGATTAGGGTTTGATCTTCACTCTCAATTTCTTTGGATGTCCCATGATTTATTTAGGCAAAATCCTTTTTTCCTCTCACTTCCACTGTAATCCCTTTCCTTCCTATATTTTGTGTGACAAACTGTTGAATTTAGGCTTCCCGTTCCAGGAAGCTCCTGGGCAAATCTCTCAAGGTAAGTCACAGGTCTCACATCTCAAAGAGGTGAAGCCAGAAGGTCTCAGTATTTCTTCCTGCCTAGCTTAGGAGCTGATTTTGTAAATATGGTGCTTAGGATTAGCTCTTAGCTGGCATTACAGAGAGGCAATAAACATGTGATGGAATGTAAATTCAGTTAGGCCTCCCCTTTGGGAGTCTAATCGCAAACCTCATTTCATAGCACTGATTCTCCTTCTGCTTACTCAAACTTTAAATTATGTTCTTCACATGCTTGCTTTTTTTCCCTTTTGAATCTCATTTTGCAGTATCCTGCTAATGATTTCCCAACCATCCAGGTCTTTGTCTCAATTATATCACAAAGATGTGCAAAAAATGATGCAAAAATAGTCTAGGTCTGGGAGAGGGTCTTTTTTTCCTTTTCTTTTACCTTTTCCTTTTTTTCTTGTTTTCCTTTGCTTCCTTTCCCTTCTCCTTTCTTTCTCTTTTTCTCACTCTCTTTTCTCTCTCTCTTCCTTTCTTTCTCCACTCTATTTTTTCTTGTGCCTTGCTGGGCTCTCTTACTGCAAAGATATCCAAATATAGGAACGCCTTCTCAGCTTGCCCTTTCAGAATTGACGTGTTAAATTTGGCAGAAAACAGCAGCCTCACACAGAAAGTGCCCACTTTGTAACTGGCAGTGGGTGTCACATCTTTTTTAGCAGCCACATAGACTTTTCTGTTTATGGTCTTTTCACTCCATAAAACAGTGTCTTCTCCAACTCAATTAGAACTGAAATAATGCCAAACAGTCTCTTAAAATCAAGATATTTGTTCTCTGAAATTCTGTTGGATAATTGTTTTGTAGCTTCTTCACTTTCAGTTCCATTCCTTTTGCCATCTGTTACAGCTGCAAAAAAGTGTTGCCACTATTCCAACATTTCCTACCAATTTTGTGACGTTGATAGTCAGATAAAAACACGCTCTGTGCACCCTGCTCTGGTTAACAGCATGCTGACATGCAGTAAAAACATCCTCATGTGAATGCAAATGAAGATACATTTACTAATGGGAATCACTATAACCAGCTCTAAAATCTGGAAATGGATTGATATTCTCTAAAGTTTGGATATGGATTGATATTCTCTAAAGTTTGGATATGGGTTGATATTCTCTAAAGTTTGGACCTTTCACCTGCACTCAGTTGTTAAAAAACAGTTCTGTGTCCCTCTGCCTCGCCCACCTGAGGAAATGTCAGAGATACAAAGAACTTTATATGTAACAATGTTAATAATACTCCCCATGCAGTCTTTGTCAACTTATAAAAAGGCCTTCCCTAATTTATGTAATATTCAGCAACCCCAGAACTGACAAATTGTTGAGAAGAGCTGGGATTAGTCACACACTTTGCAGTGCTGTGGAATGTGTGTATCACCGTGCAAGACCCTTTGAGGTGATGTCCTCCCCTCTAGCCTGAATTTCATCTTGCTGTTCCTTTCTTTAGCTTCTCAGTGACTTTTGTTACAGTAAAAATATAACAATTTCAGAAGTGTTTCTTTCCTTCCCAGTCTGCTTACTGTAAAGTTATTGTGTACTGGAAACCTTTCCTAGGGTGCCATTGGAGCTGATGTGGTACCTCACATCTGGTGGGGTTACACAGCTGGGTCAGAGGGAGCAAGCTCTGAGGTATCCCTTGTATTAATTAATGTATTAATCCCCAGTAAGACAATTGCTGCTCCAAGGTGAGATCAGTTACACATCTCAGCAGTCCCTGATAAGATTCATAGAGGAGAGGCTCCCATCATGGAAAAGCATTGCCATTGGGGAGCATTAAAAATGTTATCTTGGTTTTGGTGTGTGTGCACCAGGAACCTGTGGCTGGGACCAGGTCTGTGTGAGTGATCACAGACCTGTGACTGCTATGGAGGCTTCATCTTAAATTCAGATGACAAAACATGCTCAAGTAATAACTTAATGTTTGGATTTTTTTTCCTGAATATGTTTATTTATTGAAGCACCTTTTTTAAATGTGTTAAACATTTTTAATCTGTTTGAGAAATGGTCTATCAACTCACAAGCTCTCAGGAAGTATAATCCCTTTTCATTCTTTTATACCTCTTTCCAAAATATGTTGAGCTAGTTTGGTCCTTCTTCTTTAGTTATAGCAGTTATGGTATTTAAAACTAGTTTAATGTTGTCTCTTATCTTCATCATACCTTGAAGGACTCACTGTATTTAAAAATACAATCTGCATTCATGAAATGGGAATAACTGGGGGTGTTGGCAAAGCAGGGTTCTGGGGCCCCTGCCTCTGGGATGTGAGTCTCCATTGCCTACCAGCATTTGGAGAATGGCTGGGGGGTCCCCAGGGGAGCAATGCTCAGGTCAGAACAGCTGCAATGCTAGACCTTGTATCCTTGGCATCTCCTCTGAGCTCAGTGGGGTAACAGTGAACTCACCAGCTGTTTTCAGATGGGCAAAACTGGGATCAAGTGTTGGCAGAACCTCCCCACAGTTTGATGCAGAATGCAAAGTTGGGTAGGAAGGGACCTCAGGAGCTGCCTAGCTGAACCCCTGGTTCAGAGTGGGAATCACCTGCCATCACATCAAGTGCCTGAAGATGCTGTGTAAGAGCACAGTTATAAAATTGGTGGATATAGACAAACACCATCTGCAAAAATAGTTTCTTGTTGGTCTGGACTGGACCACAAAGGCAGAGTAAAAACACAGCTTAGCATGCTTTGTGCGTCTTGTTGGGCATCCCAGTGGCAACAGGAATGCCCCAAATTTTGAATATCAAATACTGGAACACTTCCAATTTCACAGTAGGACTGTAGAAGAATTCAGAATATCTTTGGACAATTGCCAGAGCTGGTTGGAAAAATAATTTTGTTAAAAGAGACAAAATCCAAGGAGGATCTGTATCTGTCATTGGAGAATTTAAATGCAGACATAAAAAGTTAACTGGCAGCTGGTTGGAAACCAACCATGTTGGTGTGATGTTCTGAACTGGCCTTCCTTCAGCTGACTCTTGAACAGCTCTTCTTTGTACATTGACCATAAAGCCAGTGGAATGTTCCAAAGAGGGGAGCTGAACAAATACAGCCTCAGTGGAATCAAGGAGACACCAATTTCAACACTGGCTTTAAGTCAAATGAGTTTCTGCACTGCCAGATCTGCAACCTCATAGATTTTGCAGTTTCCTTTTAGAAGGGGAGTATTAATGGTATGATTGACAAAAAAAAAAAAAACAAAAAACCAAAAACCTCAAACCAAACCAAGCAAACAAAAAAAAAAAAAAAAAAAAGAAGCCAAACAAGTCCAGGAAAAAAGAAAAATGTACTTTTGTATAATTTACTGTTTGTATAATTTACTTTACTGTTATAATGCTCACACATATTGTTTGACATTGATCAGCTATGCATTTATATATCTAGAGAAAACAAAATTTATTAATATGCTATTGTTGCCTTTGCAAGTAATGTAAAAAAAAAACATCAAGAGATGGGTACTTCATACACATAATACTTCTTGGTAACTTATTGAAAATGTATTTGTAGGCTCTCTTTTAAGAAGGCTTTGCTTTTGGAAGCTTATTACTCCAGTCTCAGATGTGGATGGTGAACTCACTACAGTACCTGTGCTGCAGTGGCTGTTGATACATTTGTTCTCAGCCTTCAGCAAAGTGGTGCAGCCTTAACTTTATGGAGTAGGTGAGGCTAAATTGCCTTTCATGCAGCCAAGAACTCACAACCATCTACTGATGCTTGACATTATTATACTACAGTGAAATTGTCATCATTGCTGTTTTTTTCTGTGAATTATGGAGAAAAAGGAATTGTTGAGGACAGCTGAAGCTGGTCCCCTGTAAGTCTAGAAGACTGAGTTCAAGACTTAGGAACAGATTCAAGGAAGCACTGTGGAATATAGCAATGATCACTTTCCCTTTCTGAAGAGATTGGTAACTCCTGTGTCTTACTAACTGGTTCCACCAGTTAGATTGCTGGGTCTTCCTGCCAGATTATAAATTCACTTGGGCCTATTTGAATGATGTCATTCCCTCATCTATATTCATGTGACATTTGCATGGATTTGTGTCCATCCTCCCTAGGCATGCATGTCGCAAATGTCAGAAACCAAGAGTACTTGTGGGGTAACACAATTAAAGTTGAAGGGGAGGCTGGTTGGTCTCTGCAGCCAGGCCCTTTTTTATTTTTATTTTTTCTCAGTAATGGTCTAATTTAAAGAGTACAGAGGATCCAGGTAGGCAGGTGAGGAACATCATGCTCTGCTTCCTTCTTGGTTCAAGTTGAGCTCTCTCTTCCCTGTCCTGGACTCACTGAGGTCTCTGGCTACACACCAGCCCCTGTTCACTGCTGCCCCTCCTTCCCACCTGCCCTGGCTTGCAGTGCTTGCTTTAGTCTCACAGCATGGGTTTGATCCTTCCACAGGATCAAGCATTTTCTTGGGATTAAAATGTTCAATAATTGCAGTAAATGTAGTAAATGCTGTTTTCTCTCTTAGGAGCCATAACAAGCAGTCTTGTAACTGCTGAAGAGTCCTGTAAGTGTGAAGCCATAGCTGCCCTCCAGGACTCAGTGACCTCACGCCTTGAAGCTCTGTCCACAAAATATATCCTTTTTCTTACATGATCACCTGCATTCAGCACTTTCCTGGTATTTTCAAGGTAGCTGTTTTGTTATTAACCAGGGAAGAAATATCCAGGGAAGAAAGTATTTTCAGGATGATTTCAGAAATATTATGGAAAAAAAGATAGGTTGTTGCAAACACCACTATGTTTTCACATTTTATTGAAGAGCAACACGATACAGATAAAATAAGTGCATATGCCCACACCCCCTAGATTATATCTGCCATGTTGAACATCAAGCACTGTTCATCAAACTCATAATTCTTCTGGCTGGCTTTTACTGTTACATCAGTCACTCAGTTTTGAGCCCTCCTATTACGTCCCAAAACTTTAGGGACAACTTCATGGGCAGTGTGACAACAGTCCCATTAGCTGTGGTATTCCTCAGCATCCCACCTCCATAGGTAGGCACTGTCCCAAGTGATTTTCCAGCACCTTCTTTTCCCTGAAAAGATGTGAGCCTGTTAGTATGCAGGCATGCAGAGCATGAGGGGGCAGCAAGGCAGGGTGCTGGAGGCTCTGGGCAGGCTGGGCACCCGAGGTGCCACCTGGGGTGGGATTTGCTGGCCGCGTTTGCTGCAGTGCCGCGGCTGCAGCTGGGAAGGGAAACGCCATCAGCCCCCGGATCAGACATTCCACAAATATGTGGGAGAGAAAAAAACACCAACCAATAAACAAAGAGAAAGTGGTGATCTCTGTGGTACCACAGCAAGCCTGAATGCTGAAATAAATGCCCTCAGATGACATGGCAGGAACTAATAACTGGAAGCTGAAGTTGAACAAGCTGTGGTACATCATAAGGCATAACATTCAGAAGTAAGAGTGGTTGATCACTGCTACAATTTACCAATGAAGGTCACAGATTTTCTTCACTGAAAATTTTTGAGACTGAATGCTTTTTTCTGTCAAAGGTCCTCTTATTCAAATAGGAATTGATTTAAAAGAGCATTATGTCTGTGGTTATCAGCCCAATCTCTGAGACTTCAAGGAAGAGTGGACTATTTAAGATTAAAAAAAAGGCGAGTAAAATAGTGAGTTTTATACATCATTTAGATAGATACAGGAATTTTTCGGTTTGCCAAAGTTTCTGAAAGTCAAATAAACACTTCTGCCAAGGACACAAAACTTTCCCAGTTTTTGAATAAATTCAAAGTTATTTTTATGAGATCTAATTTTGCACATTCCTCTTCATGCAGTGTGCTTGGAGATCAGTTTATCTGCCTGGGAAAAGCAAAGGGAAGAACTCAGATTTTCCTGGATTATAATGTATAATTCTCGGGAATCTAGTTAAATCTACACATCTGTACTTACACCTGTAATGTCATCTCAGTAGTAGCATGTCCTTCAGAGATCAATCTTTCTGCCCTAAGAGCTCATGTTGAACAAGAAAATGTTCTGGGTTTAAGTTAGGAAGAGACTTTATACAAAGAACTGAGGCTTTCTTTCAAAGATTTTCTTTGATGGGCCATTTCTATCCCCAGCATTCTTTCAAAACAATCTGGAAAACACAGCAGAGACCATCACATTGTGCTCCTCATCCCTGGGTATCACCTGATCCAACACATTATAAGAAATTAGGGTTGTTGAGATTATTTGGGAAGATGACAGATCTTGACAGAGCTCTAATATGTTTGGAAATTTCTGTTTCAAGCATGTACTGACCTCACCCAGAATCCAGATTGTTTTATGAAAATGCAGCAATATGAAAGACTGTAAATAAAACAAACCTTATAGCCATCTATGTTATTGCCCTTAACACCTGACCACTAGACGAAGTGTCTGAGAAGCTGCAGGCATATCAAGACAGACAGCAGATTGTCTGAGCAATCATTTTGCTTTATTTTAAAATAATCTTTCAGAATCAAGCCTTTTTATTGTTTTCAGGAATCTTTATTTCATTGCACAGCTTACAAAACAGCAGTGGTTAATTATTATCACTGACAAACATGGAGAAGACTTCAGGAAGACAAAAGTCTTGAAAATACAGTGACACTAAGGATCTTCATGTACAGTCACTTTATAGCCATGAAGCTACTGATTCATAGCTGCTGTGCTTCAGTTTCTACTGCAGATACTGCTTTTCTGTAGTAACTGCATTTTTTATTCTCTTACTTCAAAGTAAATACAGGAAAAAAAAGAATGGATACAGTATATCACATTATATAAAACTTTGAAATGGCAAGGCAGAATGAAAAAATGTGCCTGTATCTTCTGTCAATAAATGGGAGAGTTGGGATCTTGTAACTTATTTTAATAAAATATAACACGATATGCACATTGATGTTGGAAGTTATTTTGTATTCAACCTAAAGGATATGCGTATGAAGTAAAGAGTTTAAAAAACCCAAGGAAACAAAACTTCAAGGATAAAGGAGGCACACATGGAAGAAATAAACAAAATACTGCCCCAAGTCAAATGTTTTGAAAAAGAAGAAGTATTTGATTTTAAAACCTAAATGTTACTGTAAATACAGACAAAATATTGAACAGTAATTTCAAGTATTAATAATGTTTAAAATGTAGAAGAACAAAAAACATCCTAGAATTTAGTATTTTTATCCTGCAAGATTTACTTTAGTTCTTAGTCAGTTGTTCCTGTTGTCATTACAGACTTCAGTGACACTTGTGTCAATCAGGCTTTTGGGATAAAACACACAAGCTAACAATTAAAAAAAATTAGTTGTTAAAGGAATCCAAATATATACACTTGGCATTTATAATCATCCAAATACTTTAGAAATTATATTTAAATTAGGAGTCAAAATGATGTATTTTTTAATGGAAAAATCCCATATATTTTGTAGACCCTTGCAATATAATTACACAAAATATATGTGGTAACTGGTTTGCCAAGGATGTATGAAATAACATCTGTACTTGTTTCACACCCTGCACATGCCACATTCAAGCACGTTCAGTTGTGTTCACTGCACATGGGAGTGTGACTGCAGGTATGCCTGCACAGTACTGTGAAGCTGGAATATAACACGAAACAGCACAAGTGAACATGGGACACAGCTTCAGCTGTAAGGGCTAAAAATGAGACTATAAACCCTCCAAGAATGCTGGATTTGGCTCTGCTTGGTATTTTGTGGTGTGTCCCTGTACTGATATTAATTTGCTGTAGTACAATTAAAGTTAGCATGGGACGTCCTGGCTATACTACACTTATTTCTTCAAAGTGCTGTGTATGCATATTTTTTTGTATTTCTCCAAGTCATGGAGTTTTATATCCAGCACTTCACTTTGCTTACTTTCATGTCCTCTGCTTAGGCATGAGTATTATACAGGCATTTATAGGGCCAGAAGTATGCCTTGGCCTCTGTAATTGGTAAGAATAAACAAATTGTAAATCTAATGCAAGACTTTACAAGTTCTTGGCAATTGGGAGGGGATGACATCAGTCCTATTTACACTAAGGCCAGTTGTCAGATGAGATGTAAAATTTTATAGGATAGTGGAATATTGTCCTGGAGGGCAGATGTATCTTGCAAGCTGTCAGCTGGGCAGGCTTTGATTCATGCACTAGTATTCATAACTTCATTTTGCATTACAAATTAAAATATTTACATTCAATTCCTCTGAGCAATCACCTGCCTCACTTTGTGAGTACCAAGTAAAATTCCAAGATGATATAAATGATTTGTTTAAAATAGGACATATTGTTGTTCAGAAAAATTGGATTTATTATCCAGCGTGCTACAAGCCAATAATTACACAATCAAAAGAGACTGATTGTTCATTTCAGAGTTGTGCACCCAGGTCTGGGTGCTCAGTGGTGTTCCAAAAATCAAGCACATTGCCTATAAAAACTTCGTAAACTTAGTAAAACACAAAAATATAGTAAAATTTCTCCTGAATACAATAAAATTGCAGTACAGATTCTGTTTTTGTCCGTGTGCAGTTCATGAGTCCCAAGTCAGTTTCAGTTTTGGGGGTCTTTCTGTTAAGACCACCACAAAGTTGGAGGAATACCTTTGGTCTGTGTAATGAATTCATGAGTCCAGTCATTTCAATTCCATGGCTCTGTGTGTGATTAGTACCTAAAAAGGACCTTTCCACTTCTCAGCTAGTGGAGATCTTTCCAGGTTTTCAGGTACTCTTGATCTCCATGCTTGAAAGAATATATTGGTGACTTCATTGGGACTGGTGTTCTAAAGAGCAAGTACCCGTGTAATAATCTCAGGTTTTTCTTTAAAGACAAGAGATAATCTGTTAAAGCTTTTTCTCTTACCATATCACCTGGTCAGTTTTTCCTGTCAGATTCACATTATGTGGTGTACCATACAGAATTTAAAATTTTTTCTCAAATTGTTTTTACAACCTGGCAGACTCCTTCCAATGTATCAAATCAGTGGTTGAAAAGGGAACTTTTGCATATACAGGGTTTTAGTGTGCCCAAATTCTGCCTGCAATTGGACTAAATGCATCCCTTAATTCAGTCTTACCATCAGTACTTTCCTGGTCCAAATTATCACTATCCTGATTTTTTCTCAGGGAAACCAACAATTGTGCCCCTTTTTCTTCACTATCCACTTTCAGACACCTTTTCTCTATACTAGAAGCAGACCAGCAACAAGATAATTTCTTTTTCTCTTCCATCATCATTAACACATTTGAATCAAACACCAATTACCTGCATTTCTTTCTTGTTTTATGACCATTTCTCAATGAGAAAAATAAATCCACACACAGGATTTCATCCCACTTATCTAATCTTCTGCAAAATAACAGTTGTAGCATGTTATTATAATTTAATGTTCCCATTTCTGGCCACTTTATCACCACCCAATTAATATTTTGGCCACCATTGAGTACAGTATTTCTTTAACTACCACTTTGTAAGAAGTTCTCCACCAAACTTGTCTCAGTGATTCAAAATACATCCTAATGGAGAACAAGGAGAAGGTTTAACTGATTTCCCCATTCCACATTGTTACCCAAAAGAGAAAGTTTTTTAACCATGACTTCATACACTCCACTTGTCACTCTCAAGCATGAGTTTGAGTTTTCCAAAATTCTACTACACAATACCAATTCCACAATAATATATCAATTCCTCTATTTACTTTATACAGTCTCTTTTCATCTATTGCATCTTTGTGTCTCTTATCCACTCCTGGGTGAGGAGATACTTGCACAGTCTCTGACCAAAAGGCCAATGGATGCTGGAGTTACATAGTGCTACAAGTTACATAGTTCTTCTGTTAATTAGTGTTCTACCTTCTGTTGGTCAATGATTCTCTTTCTTCTCATGTTAATTACTCCATGCGCTCAGTCTTTCTTTTCTTTTCGGTTGGTGGATTTCTTGGGTCTGATGGTTGCAATCTGCCCCTGCCAGAATTACCTTTTACCCAGTCTGAGCTGATTGCCGCACGATGCTGAGTTGACTTTATTTGTTTCTTTCTTATCTTGGGAGTTCTGCCAAATGTGGGCCTTGTGGCCCATAAATTCTGCATTCTTTGTGTCCCTTATCAGTGTGACATCCTTCTTCCCAAGCTTTATTAACCTCCCCCTAGGTCTGAGATCATCAAAACTTGTCCAGTTGTAAATTTTAACATGGCAGTATTAGTGAGTAATTTATTTTTCTAATACCTCAGCATCACTGAGAACTTGGCAGTGTGAAATACAAAGCTGTGTTTTGTCTCAGGTACATACAGGCAATGTGTGTATTTGTGATTGTGATATGTGTGGAAACTGACCATGAGACAGTTATAAAGAGGAATTCTAATAATAACTGAGGAAAGTAAAGCATGGAAGAAGGCCTTTGAACCTATCTTTTGTTCACAATTAACCTTAGTTGATTTAGGAGCATTTTACTTAAAGTGTTAAGGATGTTGCTCTTAAAGGGTTTTGCAATAAAAACCTTATAATAATAAGCCTTAAAGGGTTTTGCAATAATAACCTTCTGGAGTATAATTTTAGAATATTGCTTGAATCCTTGAAACAATAGCTTTGGAATATATATAAAGGAAACATGCTTATCTCACACCTTAACAAAACAGAGAAAAGCAGCTTGAGAAAGGAAGATGAACGTCACCTCAAGGGTTTATAGTTTCGACCAAGGGAAGCTGGACATCACTGTTATGAGATTTATAGTCCTTGCAATTAAAAGGTGGATCCACATCTGGGGAGCTGAACTCCACCAGATGGGATTCTTCCTTCTTTCGGAAACTGGACCACCACCATCTGGGGATACTCCTTTCTGGGATACATCCTGAGAAAAACTAAATCACAACAGTGTATAGAATTGTGACGTAAAAATTTGGAATAGAAATTGATGATGACTAAAAATTGGGAATAGAAACTGCTGAGAAAGCTTATAAGTACCCCTATAAATACTTGTAAGCTTCAACTATCGGTGTGCAGCTGGAGGGAAAACTTCCCCCACTGTACCCAGCGCTGTATTGCTCTGTGCCATATTAATTAATAAATTGATTAATGCTTGAATATTGGCCTAGTCAAGCTTGTTATTTATAACATTAGTTGCTCTTTGTTTCAATTATTAAGTCTCCTTCCTTTTTAATTAGGAATGCCTTTAAGCTGAAGAAGGGCAGGTTTAGGTAATATATTAGGAAGAAATTTGTTACTGTGGGGGTGGTGAGGCTCTGGCACAGAGAAGCCGTGGATGCTCCATCCCTGGAAGTGTTCAAGGCCAGGCTGAGTGGGGCTCAGAGCAGCCTGGTCTGTGGAAGGTGTCCTGGCCCATGGCAGGCCATGGCAGGGATCTAGATGGCCTTTGGGAGTCCCTTCCAACCCAAACCATTCTATGATTCTATTTTAAGTTACACGACAAACACCGTGCGCAGACAACCTGCGGTTCACAAACTTGGGGATACTTCTTCGTGTAAAAGCAGCGTGACCTTTATTAAGGAACGGGCAGTGCTTTCTAACCGAGCCGAGCACTCCCGAACAGCCTGGGCCGGGCGAAGCCCTCAAGGCCCAGCGCTGAGATCCGGCCCCGCCGCCGGAGCGGGCACAGCGTTAATGGCGCCGGCCGCTCCCCCGGAAGCGGCGCCATTTCCGCGGGCGGTTGCCAGGGGGACGCAGCGCCGGCTTGGGCGCGCTGCCGTGAGGGCCGGCCCGGGCGGCTCCTGCGCTCCGCCGCGATGTTCATCTACCTGTGCAAGAAGGTGCTGCTGGGGAGGCGCGGGCGGCGGAGGGCAGGCTGCTCTCGGGCAGGGGGAGTTGCCCTGGCGAGTGCCGGGGATCGGGAGCGCGGAGCCCGCGGGGGCTGAGGGGACTCTCGGGGCTCTCCCGCCGCCCACGGCCGCTGCGAGGCGGTCGGACCCGGTGCGGCACTCCGGGACACGGTGCG